ATCCATTCTTGTTTTACATTATAATATTTAAAGTGAGCCTATTTATTCGAATGTCAGAATGCAAAATTATAAGGGTGTCGTTTGACACGTGGATATATAATTCTTTATTAAAGAAAAAGAAATTTAATTAATATTAATTCAGCCTGGTAATATATTTTAATTTAGTGCGTTAAATTTTAGTCTCAGTAAGAGGCTCGCAAGGGAAGCGCAAATCGCTTATCTCTCGCCGAGAGACTGTCAAGAGGTGTCGTGTAACATAAACTTTTCGGCACACGGCCCGCACGAAATTCTTGCCGTATGATAAGTAAAGCTTCTAGAAGGTTCTAGAAGGTATGGTGTAAAATGAATTTCTGTCTCCTGTCGATTGTTAACTTTTCTAAAGGACCAAAAGGAGAGTCCATGCCGGTCGTTGAAGCGGGTTAAACAATAGCCGGGTTTATGACTTTCCATGTGGTGTACATATGTTGTTTCTATTATGAAGTCTTAACGGAATCCTTGTAGAAAGTTATATAAATCCGTTGAGACTTCTTTTACGAACATGAGAAAAGAAATAGAATCGTTCGCAACTAAACTATGTTACGCAAATATATTTACTAAGAAGTTATACTATGGGGATGAATTTAGTATTATATGAAAGCTGATTATATATATATATCTTAAAATAATAAGGCAAATTCGTAGCGCTATATAGGTGAATACAAAGAAGCGCTTAAGCATGAGTGATTAAATGCAATTATATGATAAACTATTATATTATTATTATATTAAGAGAAGGGTTTATTTACCCTGAACAAAAGAATAAAATATTAGAGTTGTCTTATGATCGCGTATATAATGATCGTGAAAATTAAGATATTTGTTTTATTATAAAGTTGGATATCAATATAGATAAGGGTTTCTTTGCTTTTCCCTTTGAATAAAAATTATTTTAAAGCATAAAGCCAAAGTATTGAAATAAATCGTATTATATGACAGTAAAAGCACGAAATAGGGTGGGTGGCGCCATCTAGCGTGTTTGGAAAAAACGTTCGGCGACGTAATACTGGCGGCGGACGTTACATTATTCTATCTTTATCGTTTATTAAGCCAGTATTCATAGTCTTATTTTGATCATCAAGTATAAGTAATGTGTAATGTTTTAACTGTCTTAAAATGCTAATACGGCTTTGTGATAATATTGATAATTGCGATTGATGACATCTGTACTTAAGGCGGTTTTAAGAATCAACTATGAAATGAACACCGACCTTAACAAGGATGACGTAATAGCACTGACGACTCTTCCCGGGCTGCGGTCCGATTCATGCTCACAATGCTTTTGGAATACTTTCATCCTTGTCGTTAGTCGAATATTAAATAAAGACAAATAATGATCACGAGCGTTGCAAGCATAAATCGGACAGCTTTTGTGAACAGTTATTACGTTACTATACGTTATGCATCACATATTAACAGAATTCAATTTAGATGTATTATATCTAAAGTTACTCACGTAGTTACTGATAATTTTGGTAAAATTTTTAGATGCTTTGGTGTTACCAAACTTGAAAATTCTAATCAACAGCAAATATCACAAGAAAATGATTTTTTAAGTGATATGCATGAATCGGATTCAGATATTGAAATTGATGAATCTGGAAAGATTTTAATAAATAGCAATGAAATTGACAATCTTACGGATGAACTGGGAAATGAAATTATTTTACCTCCTCAGTTAACATGTTGTTCTCGTACGTTAAATCTTATTGCTACAACAGATTGTAAAAAAATTTTGAAAAGTCCTAATAACACTACATTGAAAAAAATTTATCGTTCTGCTTTTGCAAAATTAAGTGCTTTTTGGAACAAACTTAGTCATAGCATAGTTGCATCTTATTTAAATAATGCAATTGTAAATTTCCCGTACCTATTATTGCACGATGGAATTCTCAGTACGATGCTGTAAAAAAAATTTTTGCTTATAAAAGTAAACTTAATGTACTTTTTGAAAAACTAAAACTTCAAAAATTAAAACCAACTGAAATTGAATTTTTAGAAGAATTTAACATGATTATGTCTCCGTTAGCAGCAAACATTGATATTTTACAAGGAGAAAAAATGATTTTTTTAGGTTTGATAGCACCAACGATTATTGTACTACAACAAAAACTTACACAATTTACTCACTTATCATTTTGTAACCCATTAGTAATAGGAATGATACAAGCTTTAGAAAAGCAGTTTAAGCATATTTTTTATTTTTGATTATCTGAGAGTAAACCGTTTATTATATCTGCTATCAGTTTACCTAGATTTAAGTTAAATTGGGTACCAGATTATATAGACTTATGTAAAGAATTATTTTTAAAAAAAGCAGAAATCTTTTATTCTAAAGATTTAACTATGTCTCAGGATAAATCAACTTCCAGTGGAAGTTGTGGAGATGAGGATTTTTTTCGTGATATGGATAAAAAAAACAAGAATTGTAGTTCACAACCAGTGATCAGCAGTAATATTGAAGTATTTTCATATTTAGAATCTAAATCAAAAGAATTAGATAGTCTTTCGTTATATCCTCACATTAAACAAATTTTCTTTAAATATAATACGATGTTGCCATCGTCGGCGCCAGTGGAATGCCTTTTTAGTTGCGTGGGCAACAAATTTATGTACCACGTAGAAATCGTTTATCAGACGACACATTTGAAAAACTGTTATTTTTAAGATATAAAGACCTATAAATAAAAATATAAATATATTTTCAAATCCTTTTTTTATATCCTCTTTTACTTAAAAATATTATCTTAAAGTTATCTAGATGAAACAATATATATTTTCATCTTTTATCTAGATAAATTTAAAATAAAATTATCTTTATCTTATCTAAGATGAATTTATATAAGACTTATCTAATCTATATCTAGATAATTTTTAGTTATCTAAGTGCAACACTGCAGCGGAACTATAAAATGTGGCCTTTAGCCAAGGGCAATGACAAATTGGCACAAAGAGATGTAATAAAATGTAATTTTAAAACTGTTGTGTATTGAGAGAAGATTATTAACGACTCGGTAAATAGCGTACTGACACTTTTATTGAGAGACACGGATACACACGTCGCGTGTTCGTTCCTAGCGGCCATAACTGAAGAGAGTAAGAAAGAAGGGGGAGAAGTCCCAATACTAATGGCGGGTTTACAAACTCTGATACATAACATTTCCTCCTCCACAAATAACTTGAAATATTAAGATGTATCTGTCGCGGTCGTTGAGAGCGACGTAGTGTCAACGCCGTTATGGGTGCAGGCGGAGGTTGTCTGTACGTTGTGCGTTGTCTGTATCGGAACGTTGACTAGAGGTACTACCGGTGCAGTAGCAGGTTGGGTTGCTGCTGTTCCTCCAATCGCCCCGTGGTAACGGATATGTCACGATCGATCCTTCGCATTTTGGATGATCAACTGAGCAGATCGTGGTTGCCTTTTCGTTTTCTGCTCTTTTTGACAACTTCTGATTCGGTCAACATGCCTCTTAAAGCGTCGACCATTGTACTCGATCTCACAGTGGAGATCTAGCCAGGCTGCAATGACTCCGGGAATTCACCTATCCATGCGCAGATTACCTGAAACAGAATAAACTGCCTGCGAAGGTTGGAATGTTCTTACGAACGAGTTCAATTGTCTTTGAGGCCTGTCTGTCTCTGTAACTTCTTGCCGGGTTGCACCAAATCTAGGTGAGTGCGTAGGCTCCGTCCTAAGAACAGCTGCGAAGATGATTGATTCGTGGTTGTATGTGGAGCTTTGTGATATTGTCACAAGAACTTGTTTATATTTCGTTGCAACGTGTCCTTGGTAGTCGCCATAGCCTTGAGTGCATCTTTGACGGTCTGGACGTAGCGCTCGGCTTGGCCATTCGTTGCAGGGCATATGGAGCCGTTAATTTGTGATATTTGACTCCTGTTGACTGAAGGAATTTCTTAAATTCCGTTGACGTGTGAATTGTGTGCCGTTATCGGACACAACTGTAATTGGAACGCCGTAGGTTGCAAACAATTCATCTAGAATTCTAATAGTTGCATACGATGTCGTGGAACTTGTAACTTTTACTTCTAGTTACTTGCTATAGGCGTCCACAATAATCAACATCATTACACCTGCGACCGGATCTACGTAATCAATATGAATCCTTTCCCAAGATCCGTTGGGATATTCCCAGTGATGTTCACAATACTTCGGTGGTGCGTGTGTATACTTGCCGCAATCTGTGCATGCTTTTACGTTGGCCTCAATATCTGCGTCTATACCTGGCCAGAAAACAAAGGAGCGAGCTAACCCCTTCATTTTGACAATACCGATATGCGCTGCATGTAAATCGGCAAGAATTGCAGATCGCAATGACGGGAGTATTATAACTCAATGTTTCAAAAGTAAGCAGCCTCTTGACAGTATGTAATTAATTTCCGGTGCTTTATATACAAACCGGGATAAACACTGACCCTTCTCCAGGATCTGGATGATCTTACTTAAGTGCAGATCTTTACGCGTTTTGCTTGCGATGAGCTCTGCTCATACTGGTAGTTGCTCAATCTGATGTGTGATGAAATAATCAAATCCATCACCTTGCAATGTCTTCTTCCGTCTGGTTAGCAAGTTTGTGAATTGTTCTTACAGTTGAAGGAAGTGAAACTTGAACAATAATCAGCATTTGTATTATCTTCCGTTGGCTTAAATATAATATCCAAATCAAAATGTGACGAATAATCTGCGTAGTTAGCAATTCTACTAATACAAAGTACTGGAAGTGATTTTTCCGGATGAAGAATCTGCGTGAGGGGTTTATGATCCGTGATCAATGTAAATTATGAACATACAAATAATGGAAAAACTTCTTGACAGCCCATACTATAGCAAGTATTTCCTTGTCGATTTGTGAATAGCATTGTTCGGTAGAAGTCATTGTACGACTTGCGTATGCGATTAGTCGCTCTGAGGTCGGTGAGATAGGACTGCTCCTAAATCCGTTTTGCTAGCGTCTGTTGCTAGAATCAGTGGCAATTGTGAGTTGTATAGCATTAACACTTGAGGCGACATTAATGCATTTTTTATGTCTTTGTATGCTGCTTCTGCTGCCGTTGTCCAGAGGTTGCGTGTGTAATATGTCCCGTAGTGGACGGCTTCTACTCGAGAGATTGGCAATGAAAGATCCATAATATGTTGCTTTGCCTAAAAATAAGTGAAGTTCCTCTGGCGATGACGGTTTCGGTGCGTCTCTAATGGCTTGGATGTGTTTGTCAGATTTATGAATTCCCTGTGCATCAATTTTATGTCCTAGGAATTCCACGGTTGTAGTAGCGACGATGCATTTGTCTCGATTCAGTTTCAGACAGTTGTTCCTCAATCGTTGTAGAATTGCATCCAGGGAAAATATGAGGTTATCGAAGTTGTCTGCAAAAATGAAGATATCGTCGAAAAAATTGAGTACGTTAGGAATATCTTGCAAGACTGCCTCTATTTTGCGTTGTCAAACCGCTGGAACATTAGCTGCCCCATAGACAGTACGTGTAGAACGAATCAGACCATGAATTGGAGTATTCAACGTTAATGCGTGACTAAATTCTGGGTCAACCGGCAAATGTGTATATGCATCTGTGACATCTAACATAAGTGGCAGAAGAGCTTCGCGCCTTTCATGTTATTAAATAAATATTCCGGTCTTGGAATAGGATATTCATCTATGACGATACGTGGATTTAATGTAGGTTTGTAATTACCCGTGATTCGCAATTTACCATTTTTCTTCATTACTATATGCGTCGTCGAAGCCCACACTGAATGCTCTATTCTCTCGTAAAATCCGGATGCTATCTTGTTAGCGTCGATTTCCTTGGCGTATGCATCGCGCAACGCTAACGGCACTTCTCGTGCGCAAACAAAAACGGAGACATTCCTGGTTTAAAATGGACTGAGACTGGCAGCCCTCAGAGTTTGCCTGGCGAAGTACTAAATACATCTTTGTAGTTTGTTAAGAATTGATCTAGACGAGTCTTCTGTTCTTTAGATAATTCAGGAGCTACTGTGGTAATTGCATGAATATCGTCGGATGAATTAAAAAGTTTGTGGAACTTAATCTCGTAAACAAAATGAGAGATTCATTCCTTGCCAAATAGTGAGTCAAAATTACCATCAATGACATACAGATTTAATTTTCGAGAGGTTTTACATAATGTAACCTCGACCGAAACGCGTCCTATGCAATTAACACTGTAGCCTGTATAACTTGCGAAGCATCTATCTGTCTTGAATAACTTGCAAGCAGGTTTGATCGAAAACAAAATTTGTTTACTTACAATACCACAAGGTGCACCAGTGTCTAGCTCCATTTCGAGATCTCGACCATCGATCTGAATCCTGAGCATGCGTTTAGATGAGGAATCAAGCTTGTTAATTTTGTTAAGCTTGTCTAAACGTTGTATTGCATCGACTCGTGTTGTAGTTTGTGTGTCAGCTGTATCCTGATTTGTTGATTCTGCGGGGCCTTGAATTTGCTTCACCGCTCTGCACACTTTAGCGATGTGTCCCTTCTTCTTACAATTATGACAGACAGCTTCGAAAAATTTGCATTTGGCACGGGGGTGCAGTCCCCCATAGCTTCCGCAACTACGTGTGATTTTGGCGGTGCTCTGCTTATCGCCCTGCCCTTGAAAGCGTGAATTTTTTCCCATACAGCACAGAAGTTTGCAGCAGTATTGCTGCAACGTTGCATCATTACATATGGCAATACAATGTTTCAGAAACATTGTTAAAATATAGATATGCAACATGATTTTAATAATGTCACAGCAATATTTAAAAGAAATATGAAAATAAACTAATTTCTAGACTAGCTATAATTTTATGTTTAAATACTTTATGTACACGCATATGCACATTATACATAAAATATTATAAATATTATTTATACAAAAATATTCAAATTTATATGAACGTGAACATTACATTGATCAACACACACACATACACACACCCAATTACCGTTTTCTCCCTCTGCTATTCGCTCGCCCTGACTCTACGATTCACTACGTTAATTCTTTGCATCCCTTCGTTCCTACACGCGGATCACCGTCTACGGCAACGTGACTCAAGAATTTGTAGTTATCACCAATTCGAAATAAGCTTACAGCATCAGAAGTGGG